ATCGGCCGCCAGTAGTCCAGCACCCGCTCCGCCGAGGCCCCATCGAGGCCCAGCTCGACCGGGATCGCCGGGTAGAGCCGGCGGGCCGCCTCCAGCAGCTCGCCCGTCTTCGCGAGCGCCAGGCCGTCGCGGAGGAGGCCGTCGAGGTAGGCCTCCCCGTCTACCGGCTCCGCGCCGGCGCCGGCGCAGACGCGGAAGGTGATCGCCTCGCCCGCCTCGTCGACCGCGGCGTACCAGTGGCCCGGGCGGCGCTCAAGCATCCCTGCAGGGCCGCCCTGGTCGTCGGAGGTCAGGCCGTCCAGGCGGAATTCCGGGATTCAATCGGCGCGCTCACAAGGATCGCACAGGGGGGGGCGCGCGCAAAGGAAGTTGTCGGGTGCGAGGGTGTAATATCGATTAGGAAAAGAGGGGAATTAATGGGGGGAGCGGAATAATAATCCAGTGATGAAACCCTTTGGACTAACGTGTAGACAAAGGCTTGAGGCGTTTATGGGCGGTTCTCTTCGCTCAAGGTGGAAGCGGTTTCCAACAGAGATCGTTCCGACGCGCAAAGAGGGATCAATTCACAAACGTGAGATTTGGACAACAAGAAAGTGACATGCAAAAGAAGCGAAAGAGTTTATAACTGGGAAATATCCTTTTCAGCGCAATCAAGAATTCTCTCTTTCCTTCGCACGAAGGGACTAAAGGTTAAAGGTAACGCGGAGCCGAACCTAACAACAAAAAAAAATTTGAAATATAAATTAAAATAAGTACGAGATTTTGATTATGATATCTTCCACAGTTCAGATTGAATCTCTTCTCTTCGTTATATAAATATATATATATACTAAGCTGCTGTGTGTGTGTGTTCAAAATGTAATAGTGTGAAAAAAAGTTCTTAGTTTTTTATAGTCGATTAGAGAAAAAGCTTAGCCAAATTGAAAGGAGGAAAATTTGAAATCAAATACATAAGTGGAGGTACTAAGGAATGACTCATTCATAGCAGTATTATTTTCTTTTTAATCTCGTATTTCACAAGTCACTTTTTTTTGAAGTATAGAAAGGTGGCACATATTTACATCAACTTCAGTGAATAAAATTGTGCACTTTGAACGAGTATTTTACATTATGATCAACCTTTTTATCTTGGTTTCTCTACAGTTTCCACTTTTTTAACTCATACATCTGTATGGCTTTGGATGGTATTTATGATCTAGAAGGAACCATCGTTCGATGCCAAAAAAAAAAAGAGCTTCAGTCCTCTAATAGAAAAAACAACAACTCTGAACGAGGGCGAAACCCCCGTAATTGACGTGAAGTGCACTTATCACCGTGTAGGCATTATTCGAGGTCGCCTTTAACAAAGTCGCTAATCCGCCCCATCCATTCGCGTATGCCGGGGTTGAAAAACGCCGCGGCGGCGCCCGAGCTGCTGCGATTGTCATCCCCACCGCAGTCGCAGGAGAGCCATCGCAGCAAAAAGTAGATCACCTCTTTATTGACCGCACAGCGCGGTAGAAGGCGCTCGACGAAGTAGTCCACGGCCTCCGGGCCCGGGGTGGAGGCCCTTTGAGTTGCCCCGCCGGGGTGTCGGCCCCGCGGGAGCTCCGGCGCCTTCGGGGGAGGGCGGTGCTCGATGACGGACGCGATAAACGACATGATGAGCTCCGACTTCGCCTCGCTGAGGCTGTCGGCGAGCCGCTCGAGCTGCTCCACGGCGGCCTCCCGGGCCTCGCGCTG